AGGTATGAAGGAACAAAAAATTTACAAGTAAAGCACACTGAAATGCTTTATTTTATAGCCCAAAATCGCCAGAAATACTTTTTCATCATCTTCCTACAGTAGTTCTTGGGCAATTGTCATGTAGAGTTTTCCAACAAAACTATAAAGTGCAATCTGGCATTTCACCATATGTCACACTAATCATCACTGTGTATAAAAAAAGATATTCAAATTGGTCCGCTATTCTACTAGACGCATCGGTATTGCTAATAGAAGACCAAGAAAAATACAGGACAATTAAAAAACATATATATTTCTTTCATAAACCACATCCATGGAACATGGTTTCTCACATGGAATTTATAACATTACATATTTTTTTACTTGAGCACATTTTATGACTCAAACTCAATATATCAGGAAAATTAAGATTTAAATAGATATCATCAGAAGCATGCATAAATATAGACCAACAAAGAAGAAAATATGGGAAATATACCTTCTCATGACTGGGAGGATCTTGTTTTATAATTGTTTTTATAGAATTTATTGCTTGAACTAAAACAGCTTCCTCATCTGCTGAAGGACCGTTTTTATTTGAGGATTCTGTAATGTCGATATCAGATCCATAAAGTTCTCAATAAGGAGAAAAGAAAAGACAAGTAGAGGATATAGAAAAATAGAAGCACCAATCAGCAGTGATCCTCTAGCAAAAAAGTGGTGATTACCAGATAAAGCCAGAGCCAACAGCCCTTCCAAACATGTCTTAGCTACATCTGGAAGTCGCTGTGAACATAATCCGATTGCAGCCACAGTATCTGCAGCAAACCTTCTGTCCTGATCTCTAATATAATCCTAGCAATGCACTAAAAGATAAGCATCAATTGACAAAAATCAATTCAATATATCAAGACCCAAAGAGGTGATTTTATATTTAAAGCATCCTCACAATATGAGAAAATGAATTGAAACTCTCCAAGGATGCACCAGTAGCAAAAGAAATGAATCAATTCTGCCTTAATAAAATTGATTTCAGCTAGGACACACGTCTGAGTGCATAAATAGCAGAGTACATAAACCTTGGAATACAAGTACCTGAAACTCTAGAAAAATGGCAGAAATTGATGAATATGTTGCAATCGAGGAAAGTATCTCGAGCTTCAGAGCTTTTACTTGATATGAATCCGAAGAGTTTACAAAAAAGTCTTCAAAGTGAGGAACAAATAGAGATGGCATTGCTTTGGCAAAGACTTGAATGTTGCAGAGGACCTGCATCAGAAAAGCATTAAAAGAAGATCAACC